AAAAAAAAAAAAAAAAAAAAAAAAAAAATGCGGGCTTCTCATCTCCTCATTTGGGGAAAAGCCGCATTTTTTACTATGCTATTATCTTCTCTGATTATTGCAGTTCACACTACCTACCCTGGGCTAGCAGGGACCATCCACCCCCGAGCAGGAACCCGATATCGACTACGTCCAAGGTGTAGGACCGGGAGAGAGGGCCAGGAGAGTTGGCCAGGAGAGAGTCTTAACTTCTCTTAAGGCAAAGGGTCTAGGGTCTAGGGTGTAAGGCTTAGAGCTAGGAGCTACCCTTAAATCTACCAACTGAAGCTCAGCTATCCTAAGGTTATGGGTCCACAGACTCTACACCTACCTAACTCTGCTCTGTGTGGGAAGCAGCACCCAAGCTCCTAGCACCTAGTCCGGGCTGGAAAGTTCCCGGCGGGATTCGATCCCTGGACCTCGCTGCTGTGTACCGGATGTTTCAATGTCGCTTGGACATATTCTTCACCGGTCTTCAGCTATTCCAGACATCAGACGTACGGTGGAGACGAGTGAGAGGTCAGCAGGCTGCTTCCTGGTATACAGAAACGTGCGTGAGGTTGTTAGGCTGCTTTGCGGTATGTACACGGGCGGGCAGGCCACACAGACATTTGTGTGACATCCTCCACACAGACATTTGTGTGACATCTTCCTTCTGCTGTTGATTGGTTCAGACTCTTCAGAGTCTCAGACCATTGCCGACGACCCGGACATTTGATTTTTTTCTGCAGGCACTCTTCAGAGAGCCTCTGCTCATCATCCAGTTGATGACAGTGTTAGAAAACCAGAGTGTGAGAGCATGCCCCCCCTCTCTCTCCTCCTCCGTCGCTGTAGTGCATCTCGCAGACAAACCCCCCCCCCCCCCCCCCCGTCGATTTCCGAGCCTGTGTCGCTGAAGGTTTTCTCTTTCCCTGGCAAGAGGAGGTGCCCATTCTCACACACTCCGCTGCTCATCTACTCGTCAGAGTGTGAGTGCATGCCCCCTCTCTCCCTCCTCCTGAGTCGCTGTAGAAAGTGCATGTCACAGACCCTCCCCCCCTCAATTTCTGAGCCAGTGTCGCTGAAGGTTTTCTCTTTCCCTGGTAAGAGGAGGTTCCCATTCTCACACATTCCGCTGCTCATCTACTCAGCATGTGGCACTTGTCAACATGGTCTCTACACTGCCACCGTCCTCAGTAACTACCTTTGTCATGACATCCCCACCCTCTGGGGAAAGACGGAGCTCTGCGACCTCACCCGCATGGGCCACCTGAGCCTTAACATGTGTGCCCTCCTGCTCTGTCTTCGCAACACCACCCTCCTCGACATGCTGGGACTTTGCAACACCGCCCTCCTCGACAACCTGCTGCTGTGTCTTCCCAACACCGCCCTCCTCGACAACCTTCTGCTGTGTCTTCGCAACATCACCCTCCTCGACAACCTGCTGCTGTGTCTTCGCAACACCGCCCTCCTCAACAACCAGCTGTGTGTTGAGCGCTTCATCCTCCTCCTCGCCAGCTTGTAGATGCGGTGCCTTGCAAGCTTCAGCGGTGTTGCCGCCGTTACGAGCACCGTGAGTGCCAGCTTCCTGACTAGCTCCTCTGCCATCAGCAGACTGTTGCGCAACGCGGGGCTTGTTGATGGGCCCGGTGGCTGGCACTTCCTTAACCAGATTCACAAGAGGGCCCAGTGCTCCATCAAGTGCAATCTTCACGCCTACCAACTCAGATTTCAGGACTTCTCCTGTTCCGTTCAGGTCTTTTCGAGCTTTCTCTATATAGTCAGCAATACAGTCCTTGATAGACTTCCTTTCCACTTCGCCCCAGTCCCTGATCATCTTCAATCTCTCGTCTGCGATCATTACCAATCTTTGTCTTTTGCTTCGGGCCTCGTGCTGTGCCCCGTCAAAATTCTCTTCCAATTTGCGGATCCTCCCTTCGACCCGATCAAACTGTTTTCCGATGCCATCTTTGAGCCTTTTACACCATTCCTCGTGCGCAGCCAATTTCCTCTGCAGCTCTTCATGGACCCGCTTGACGACTTTCTGTGTCTCAACTTCAAGAACCTGCCTCTCCCTCTGATACTCAAAAAGTGTCGATTGTTCTGAATCGCCGGCCAAACCCTTCGCGCCACCCTTCCCTGGTTCCGAATACCGCCGTGCAGCATCATTAGCGCCGCCATAATCTTCAGAGACAGTGAGACCGCTCACTTGTGCGGATGCAGTGGCTGCATGGAAAGACTTCAGCGTGGACATGGTAGGTGGACCCCCCTCCTTCATCACCGTTCTCGCTGCATCTGCTTTCGTCCGGGGCGACCCCGACCCTGATGAAGGATGCCTACCCTCCATTTGACCGGGAGAACCGGAAGTCCAAACGTAAAGAGGGTTCATCTCTTGCATGTTGTCTGCGCACAGTGCTCCTGTCTCGTTGTCCTCCTGTGGATGGAACAAACGACTCCGCACGAGTTTCCCGGGATGCAATGCTCCCTGGTCTGATGTATGCTGGAGGGTTTGTCCCCGAGGCTGCAATGTCTTCTCCGGTGTTCTACTTAGCATTATAGTTTTCGACCTCTTGAGAGGCCCGGGGTTTCCGAACCCTTCGTCCCATTCCATCACCGAATGAGTCTTTCGTGAAGGGTTCCTTGTCGTACCAGAGGGTGATGTGAGAAGCCGTTTAGAAGATTTTGTCGTGATGGAGTTTCCTGGCTGTTCTTCTGTTCCCTCGTCTTCTCTCCCTTCGCCTGTCATCCGTGCACGTGCCTCGCCTGCCTGTCTGTCATTCTCAAGGCCATCAACATCATCGTGTGGTATGGTTTCCCCCATTTCGTTGCTGCTACAGTTTGCAGTCTCTCCTGCCCTTCCTCCATTCTCCACCAAGCTGTCCCGTGAGCTCGGCATACCACCACCCATTTCTTCTTCATTCCTCATCGGGTCAGCAGTTCTGGCTCCCTCGCAACTTGTGGCTACCTGCTGCGGATCATCTGCTTCTGGATGCTTGTCCTCGTTGATTCCTTTCGCCAGTCCCACCTGACGTTCTGTTCGATGGCCCGCATTCTTGCTCCTCGTTGCCAAGGCCGCAGGCTCCATGGACTTGGATGTGCTGGACAAAATATCCATCTTCCTTGCGCTTTCGTCCCCCACCACAGCGTCATCCGTTAGTTCATTAGCAAAATGAGTTGACTTACCATTCGCATGCTCTGCACCTTGACTCTGTTTGCTTTCCAGCTGTCGGCTTGAACTCGAGCAGGCGTGCTCACCTGCAGCGCCTACTGGCCTCCCGCCGCTTTCCTGATCAGGAGTGCGAGCCCTTGACTTGGCTGGTGGGCCTCCATACTGCCCATCAGACACCTTATCACCTTCTTTCACTGCTTCCGCCAGTACATTTTCTTCCACAGGCTCAGGAGTGCGCTTGATATCCAGAACCTCAGCTTTGCCATTACGCTTCCTTTGTAGCTTCTCCTCTTCGACTCTCTCCAGTGCCTCGTGTCCCTGTTCGCCATTGGTTGGACCGTCGAGTGTGTCAAGACCCCTGTCGACCAGGTTGTCCCTTCCTAACCGGCCGCTGCCATAGCGTTGGACATGGTCGTCAAATCGCGCTTGCCTGGTCCTTTTCAATCGATTGTTGCCCCTACCCACCGCGCGTGCTGTCGACGCATTCCCCTTTCCTGCAATACCAACCTGCGTTGTTACTCGATGATTGTGTTGGGTTACGTCCTGTGCTGCACCCAGGCTATCATCGCTATATGATGGCCACCCATTGTGCATTCTATCCTGTCTTGGCATGATCCCTTCGTCTTTTCTCTCCCTCCCTGTTCCATAAGGCTCTCTATGGCTGCTGCCTTGTACTTTGGCGACTGGATACGGTCCATACTCCTCGCACATTTCACCCTGATGTAGCGGTGAACGTTGTTGCCGTGGTTGTTCACCTCCAAATTTTAATCTTTGAAATTTCACCTTGAATTTCTTCTCATGCCCGAAAATGTCTATTTCATTATCTTCTCGCTCTTCTCCTTCCTCTTCATACACATATTCCTCTTCTTCCTCGTCGCGCTCTCCATCCTCCTCCTCAAACCTAAACTTCTGTTCTCCTGTCTGCTGAATATTCTTCCGTGCACCGAATCCTTTCGGATCGTCAGCATCATCTGAGCTGATCTCGTGGCTCTGATATTTGTTGACCTTCCGACTCTTCTGGTGCTGCGCACTGACACAGTTATGGGCCCCATAAACCTCTCTGCGGCTTACATGGACATTTTCTCTATTCTTCGTTCTTTGCCTCCTACTGTTGCCCCTTCCCCTGCCATCTGTGAGCTGTTCTTCATCCAGATGCCCTGTGTTTGAAACACTCCTTCCCCTGCCATCTGTGAACTGTTCTTCATCAAGATGCCCTGTGTTTGAAACAGTCGTCATCATCTGTTTTCCCTTCGTCAACGCCGGTCCACAGCCATTCCTCAATCCCTCATCCCCATTGATTAGCCCTTGGCGACTCGAACCGGGGGTCGGGATTCCTTTTTGGATCACTCCTGCTCCTGAATGCGCACGTCTGCTGCTGAGTGACGGCAACCGGTTGCTGCCCCCAGATCGTTGTCCTTGAACATCACCCATTATCTGAGCACCCCTTTGCAGTTCTTCTGGTTGATCCTCATCCTCGACTTCATCATCCTCCACATACACCACTTCTTTGCCATCGCACCATTGAAAAGTCAATGGCTCCATGCATGAACGTGTGGCCTTGGAGGGCCTGCCACGGAACCCCATCAAGCTGCTGCCTCTCGATGACGTCTCTCGCGTCTTCTTGCTGACATCATCATTAACCCTCATGCGCTGCACCTGAGCTCGAGGCATCTGATTGTCTGATATTTCCTTAACTGGGTTCGAGTGCGTTTTCCAAACGGTCTCCATCATCTTCTTCCTCCCGGCTGACGTTTTATAGCGTCCTTGACTTTGCTCTCTCATCAGTGAACTCAGTCATCAATAGGTCTCCGTCCATAGGGTTGATGACCGAGGCCAACTTTGCCTCGGCAGCCAGTGAGTGCTCTGGGCCCAAGCCTAACTCGGCTTCCCTTTCCCACCCATGTTGGGATGCCTCTTCAATTCTGCTGAGGGGGTGCAACTGATTAATATACACCTACTGCCTGGTCCACTTAAAGCACCAACCCTTTTGCACCTTGCACCCTTGCCATGATCCTCTCTCAAACAGTCTCCAGTTCTCAGCTACACCCCCCCATTCCAACTCCACTTATCAAATCATATCCCTCCACAGCACCCACGCCGACTGCACAGGCAAATGCACGAACAAATCACTCTTCATCCCTCCCTCATTCAGCACACTGCCCTTGCACTCAGCACCAGACTCCTCTCTCTCTCTCTCTCTCTCTCTCTCTCTCTCTCTCTCTCTCTCTCTCTCTCTCTCTCTCTGTGTGTGTGTGTGTGTGTGTGTGTGTGTGTGTTTGATTGCGTGTACGAGAAAAACTCAGGCCTTCACACACACACACATACACTCTCCCGCACTTGCACGCAATCTTCCCCCCATTCTGTGAAGAACTGAGTGGCTCTCTCAACTGGTAACCAGGCTGATACAAATCTCTGTTTTCACGCTGCCCTTTCCTCGTATCCAACTGTCCTCGTCCTTGTACTTTCTTCCACATGGATATGTTTCACATCATTCCTGTTGCACCCATAACCCCGCTTCTTGTTTGCCGGCAATCTGAGGCCAAAGCTGGCAGCAATTGTTTCCCACTCATTCAGACAACCAACATGCACTGTTTTCAGTTCATGGTGATAAAAGTCAGTTTACCTTATTATTGATAAGCAATGGCGGTCCCCGGATGGAACTGTCCGTTCCTTAGAAGTGCCACGGAAGCCTCCTCACTTCCAAGAACATGTAATACAATAAGATTTATCGCTGTCCGCCTCTCTTTGCGCAAAGACCTGATTAGAACAACAAGACGGGCAACTCAATAAGATCAGAACAATTTGTCAATTACCACTTTTAAAACCTCAAAAGGGCTACGACCTTGAGATATCATCGTTTCAATCGACCGGCCCAAGGGAATTCCGGATTGCAGTATTTTACTCATCTGCTTCCGGCGGAGTTTGAACTTTGAACTCAGGTCCGTGTCTTAACAGTTCATTGGTGGTATACCAACTGATCTAGGCCAGTTGGCCGATCACCACCTTTTTATTCACATGGATAGGTGGGGCAATCATGCAGACGAACACGATGTGCTAGGTATTACATTTCACAGGTTACACATTTGTGCTTGAAGACGGGCATCACCCGTTTACTACCTTTCTTGCCCACCCTGGTCACATAAACAAGTGGCCCCGGTCGTTGATCGTTGACCTCAGAGTCTTTGAAAAACAACCCATCAAACTGAAAACATCAACGTGCAGGAATTGCATACATCAGTATATTAGTAAGAAGATTACCTCGGAGTGAGAAGTGCGTATCTGGACAGAGGGGAGTGCTAGCGCCGATCGGTGAGCGCTAATTCTCGATCATGGTCCGCAGCGATTTGTTTCGGTTCAAGCAGGAATTGGGGCCGAGCGAACGCGCGCGCATCATCACTGTTCGAACTCGGAGCGGGTAACAGGGGGAAAGACCACATGCCTTCGGCCGTGGCTACTCTCAAAACAGCGAGAGACGAGAAACGAAGTGAGGGGAAAGAGCGAGGAAGAAGGCAGAAGGGAAGAACAGCAAGGAAAATGAGAGAAGCGGTGCACAACTAAGAATAGGAAAAGACGACAACGGTGGAGAGAGAGAAAAGAGAGGAAACACGACCAAGCTTTCCCGAGGCGAGTAGAGAAGAGGAGCAACAAAGGAAGGAGAACGAAGGGGGACACAACCAAGAGTGGGAAAAGACAACAGAAGCAAGGCCAGAGCAGCCCCAATCAAGGACTGAGGTAAGATCCCGCCGACCGACTTCCATCCAACGACACTGAATGCAAGTGAGCGGACCTACACAAGGACTAACCTCGCACGACAGGAGCGCGACATCTCCACAAGCGAACAAAAGACAAGAAGACCGATCCAGCAATCATCACGAGCCATCGAGTAGAATTCGATGTGATTTAGTAACAACAAAGGTCGAGGACAGCCCACTCAAGCACTACTCACTCCACAGACATAATCCTTGTCAAAACTATCATCGAAGAAGTGACACAGAAGCATCGAGACAGACAATAGCCACTCAGAATAGGAAAATTAGGAACAGCCATCGACACTCCACACACCACCTACCCCCACTAAAACATTCTGTCTCTCCCACGCACAACACATCAACACGAACAACCCCACCACTACACCGTTCACTCCACCTACCTCGCTCATGCTTCACTGCCCACATCCCCCCCGTTCCCCCTCTAACCCGACTCCCCTAAAAATCATAACACCCCCAAAATCCCACCAATCAGCCATCTACCCCCTCTCCCCCGCCCCTCAATACGCCAGTATCCCTCTCCCCAACTCGACTCCTCACTCCGATCCCCAACCCAGATAACCATCCAACCCTCCCCTCTCCCCTCATACCCACCCGCCCTTTTCCGAATACACCGTCTTCCCCTCTCCCTCACTCCCACGCCCCTCTCCCACCACGACCCCCTCCATCATTTCTGCCAATAGCCCTCCAACTTCAACCCATTACCCGCTCATCCCGCCCATCCCTTCACACCCCAACTTTCCCACCTTCCTCACCGCCTCCCGTCATTCTCCCTGACCACCAACCCCCTACGCCATCATCTCATAACTCCCCATCCCCAGTAGCCATTATTCCTATTATTATTTTATTATCAGTATTATTAATATACTATTATTATTATTACTATTATTATCATTGATTACAACTATTATTATTTACCTAGGGAGATATCCCGGGCGCCCGGGGCCCGATGTCATGCCCAGATTGGCGACCGGGTGACCGGCCGGGTATGACCCCCGGGCATGGCCCCAGGCAGCCTCAGCGCAAAAAAAAAAAAAAAAAAAACAGAAATCAAATCCAAAAAAATCTGAAAAAAAAAAAATGTTGTGTAGAATTGCAATACAAACAACTTTTGGCTGAGGGTCACATCAGAATTCCTCACAGAACTAAAGATTAAAAAGAAAATAACCATATCACACTAAGGCACCCCCCTTTTAAACCCCTTTAGCCCCTTTAAAATTCATTTACAGTCCCCTTTCCCCCCCTTGACAGGCAACACTCAAAAAGAGAAAAGTGCCCGGATTTGGGCTCCTCTCAGAGAGCGCGGAAAAACCCCACCGCCAATTTTTTTTTTTTTTTTTTTTTTTTTTTTTGCCATGACCAGGTCACCCGGGCGTCAGACACCCGTGCGCGTCATGCCCGGGGTGACCGGCCGGTCATGAAAATCTTCCTAGTTATTTACCACTTTATCATCCCCACTATTAATTTTTATTATTCTATTCACGGACATTAAATCATCTTCCTTGGACTGGTCCATTCAGCTTTTAGTAAAGAACAACCTCTCCTATCTACCGACTCCTCCAGCATCAGTTCGCACTCCCGACCCCAAACGGGGTAGGGAATCACCACTTTACATTAGCTAAAGCACAACCACTAGGACCTTGTCTGTCCTTTCACGACATTTGTGAGTGCTTCGGTATAAAACGGTACCTTTGCTGTTAAAGCTCTGCCTTCTTTCCTGATTCCCTTGCATGTCCTCTCGAACCTCTCTACCTTTTCTCTAGTAAGTAAGGCTTATAGTGTTGACCCTGACTGTGCAAACACTCGATCCCCAGGTGGGGAGGAGAACCCCTGCAGGATTTTTTCAGCCTCAGGTTCCCCAAGGGGGGAGCGGCACGTTTTTTTCAAACACTCGATCCCCAGGTGGGGAGGGGAACCCCTGCAGGAATTTTTTCAACCTCAGGATCCCCAAAAGGGGGGAGGTGTACGGCTGCCCAAATTTACTTCAACCTCCGACGAAGCCAACTACTAAGAACCAACACTCCACGCATCCATATTCCAGCACTCCACCCAACGGAGCTGTCAAAATTTTATTCAGCCTCCAGTCACACACACCATCACTCGAGTTTCAGAACACTTTACTCTGAGATCCCGTCGCTCTTCGCATCAGCACGTACCCGCGACCCCAAACAGGGTAGGGAACCCCTGCCGAAGTTTCGCCAAAGCACTTCAAATAAGAATCCGGCTGCATCTACTAAAGCGTAATACTCCAAACTCTCTTCAGGAAGAGGTTACAGCCCCAAGTGGGAAAGAGCACTGCCGTCGCTTCCCACCCATCTCATTGCGCCATGTCAAATGCTCACTCCTCAACCCCAGCCCCATATGCAGGCACAGCATCAGGCTCAGCCGCAAGTGCAGCCTCTGGCGCTGCAGCAGGCTCAGCCTCTTCCTCCGTTTCAGGTGCAGGGTCAGGGAGGATAAGGTTTCAGAACGAACAAGACCCTAGCCAAGAGGTCCTCAACTTCATGATAAAGGAAACAAGAATCAAACCGGTGATCACAAAAGAAATACTGAAGATCAACAAGGAAGAAGAAACAGAGGTGGAAGTCTGGGAATATCCAAAGGAACATCTCCCAGTTCTGCACGAATTTTACGGAACACACGCAGTAGTATGCTCATTTGAGTCATTTCCAGCAAAACTGAAACACCCTCCTCCAACGAAAAAAAGGAGAAGAATTCGTGAAACATTCCAGAACATGGAGAGCATGAGAAACATTGAACCCAAAGTCGCATACCAACAGAGAGGTAGGAATGCAGTCACGTTACTGTGCGCTGACCCAGATTACGCCACATATCTGTTGTCGATCCAAGCCCTCTATTGTGAAGGTTCAGTGGTGGCAATCACCAAATGGAGGCCTAACAGGTCTGCACCACAAGGTTCGTCAAGGCACAGACAATCTCTCATGATCAAAGACTTTTGGATCCAATTGGACAATCTTTCGGACGGCCTCCCTGGGATCGTTGAGGAAAGGTTGAAAGAGTCATATCCCCAGTGCCCCCTGGTCGAGTGGGTCTCCTCATCCCCTGGTTTC